TTCGTCGTAATTTCGAACAGCGACTTTATAATTGTATAGACGTTGGTGGATATCATTTTGAACATTTAATTAAATCCTTTGGCTAATGAGTAAACTATTTGAATTTTTTAGATCATTTTATGTACATTACATTTAATAAAGTTTCCTATAAATGTTGCAAATTTCGTTTTAATGTAGTCTTTAAGTGATGAAGGGAAAAATTTGAAATTGACACTAGGTGTTACATGTAGTTTTTAAGAGGTGTATAATAATGTTAATAGTAAAGATGTTAATGTCCTCAATAATGTTAATAGTTAAAGAGTAAATATGGAAAAAAATCATATTGCCTGAATTCGCAAACAAAAAATATGTCTAATTATATGCCACACATAGGCTAATCCCTATTTAAAATCAAGGGTTTACTATTAATTTACTATTATTAAGGGTTTATTATTAACTGGGAGGATATATATCGTTAAAACATGTTTGTCCCCTTTAGATTAAAAATCGACATGCACTCTTTTGAGTGGTCAACCCTGCAAAATCAAATAATGAACATGTTAGAATCAACTAAAGGAAAGGTTGATTTGTTACCTATCTCTCTGATAATTCGAGTCAATCAAATTTACTTAATTAAGCAAACGTCAATTATGTTGATGTATGAGAAATATAAAATGTTTGCCTGGAGGAGTTACCGGTATCCTCCGTTCGGTGAAACGATCGGAAGATCGGCATTCATTCAATGGTAGACCTGTAAGGTGTTAGTTAGTGTTATCCAACTCTTCGGACAGACTTGCGCCACTGTTTCATTGCTAACAATTAATAACGCAATTCCACTAAAATGGGCCCTTTTAAAATCCAAGCGACGTAACTTGACCACAAATGATGTTGCATAAACAGTGGTAAATTACAACAAACAATTCAAACCTAATCCTTCACATTTCTAGATATGGTCCATTTCTGGAAACATCACGTAAAATAACTATATATTAACCAGTCTACACAAATGAGTATAAGTTTTAAATTGAAGAGGCCCGCATGAAGAATTATTCTCGACTTAAACGAAAAAAAAAAAAGGAAGAATGGCCCAACTACATAAAAGCTACTCACGCTTAAAACTTGGGCACAGTACTCAAAGAAGAAGACGCATGAGGAATAGCGACAGAATAATTTGAAAATTATGATCGTTGACCAGAAAATAAAAAATATTAATACATACAATCGACTAGCTATCTGATTTGACTAAAGTTTCCCTCTACCATCTCATTGGCTTAAGTCGCCAGTAGTGAAGGAAGCAAAATGGTTTGTAAACGTTTTAACTTTGAACGTCAAAATGCAAATAACCAAAAAATACGTTAATCTTTTTCATACCACTGTTGTCGTCCTATAATAAACTTTATGGATATGAAAATCCATGTAGGACTAAACGTAAACCAATAATTTCAACTGCTACTTTTGTAAATAAAAAAAGTAAATATAAACAATATTGACACAAGCAGTTGCATAAGATTATTTAAAATAAAACGAATCTCAAATAAATAATTATCTAATTAGAATGGAACAACATTAATTTTATTGTGAGTTCACACACGGTTTTATAAATTATTTTTACAAACTTTGCCATCTTTTATCATATTTCATCTACCTATATAGACGAGAAAGACAAACAATTTTAACCAATAAAAAACTAAGAAAACGACAGTATATCTGGAGAAGACTGTTATTCATATTTGTATCCAAAAGGGAAGCTTAACATGTATGACCCCAATATATCTATTCGTTACTATTTTACATTGATAAAAAGTATCAATCGATTTAATCATAATCATTGTTGGTGCTAGTCAGTGCTGTGCAGAGCAGTCACAATAAAGAAATGAGCAGTTTATAGAGATATACCCGATTAACATATCTGGTGTTGATACCAACTGATCAGCTTATTTCATATCACTCGTGCCATTCATTAGATGCTAAAGTTTCTAATGTGTACTTATTAGAAAGGGGAAGAGATCTACAGATAAATTTTATTGGTGTTTCTCTGACGAAAGTCACGGTAGGTCTATATATAAAAATCGGCCAATACATGAGGAAGAGTGACCTCTAAGCATCTTAATAAGATGGCAAATTAGAAATTGGAACCGTCGTCGTTTCTGGAACATGAAAAAAAACGGTACAATATGTACTATGTGACTGCAGCATTGTTCTGCAAATAGTTTAAATTCATTGAAGGGGTTTTCTTACACCTTCGAAGGTAATAAACATTGAAAACTGATCAAATTCCTTTGAAGTAATAGCATTTTCGAGATTATTGGATTAAACTAGATTAGGGTTATGCACAAAAATATTTACTCAGGTCGATTCGCGTAATCTACAAATTCTACAATCTCACATTTATTTTTGGGTATGTTGTCAAAAGCTCCTCTGGACCTCTAAGAGAAGTAATAATGAATTTGAAACAATGAGAGTAACTTATACAAGTCTAAACAAGAGAAAAATCGCTTAACAAATAAATAAAAAACGTCGCAAAACTTTTTTTTAATTTAACGTAAATTGTAAACAAACTGATCAAACTGATTTTTGATTATTAGGGGAAATAGAAAAACCAATTACGTACATTTAAAAATGTGCAAAGATACAACTTATTCTACTAAACATTACATGTTTTTAAATAAAAAAATCGTTTACGCGAACTTCTTATCACCAAGAATATGTGACCGATCACACTTTGTATTTAATAGATCAAGAATCTTTATGAAACATTTTACTATGCAATGTATTAACATAAAATTATCTAGTATTATCAGAAGCCACCTCTAATCCTCCTCTAAAGTTACCGCCTCTTGGGAAGAATCCTCTATTGCCACGGTTTCCTCCTCTTGATCTGAAATTTCCTCTATAAATTGCCTCCTCAAAAATTTTGATCTGGCATGAAGTTAAATCCCGGGGACCCTCCTCGTCCCCTCCCTATAAATAGAAACTGCGTTTAGTAGTGAAAAATAACAAAGTAATGAATTATATGATAAAGAGATAACATAATAATAACATTCTACAATATGTTTGGTGCAACATATCAAACTAATACTATATTTTTTTCTACGAGTAGATTATGAAAACGAAATAAAGATAATATAAAACAGCATGTTTTGCAGCCCCAAATTAAAGAAGTCTGCTGTTGTAAGAATAAGTGGTAAATTAATTTTTGACCAGACGTACTTTGCCTTAATAATAATATCGTATTTACCTCAGCAAATCTGTGAAAAAATCATCGATTTCACGTAAAAATCTATGTAGATTTTTACGGCCAGTTCCACCAACGTGATGCGTAGGCGCAAAATTCGGGCCAATGCTTTTTAAATGCATTCATTTTTTTCGAATCCTGAGAAAACTAATAAATATTTTAAAAAATTTAAACGCAGAATGAAAGAATACATTAGTACCGGGGCCGAAAGTCCCTGAAAACTTCTATAATGTTTATTTTAATAAGTTACAGGGGTGAAAAAAAAGAAGAAAATTTAGTGTGATTTTTAATTTTTAATATCTCATTCAAAAAACTTTTTGTTTATTCTAAGGGGACTTTCTGCCCTCGGTAATCTTTCATTCTGCATTTAAATTTTTTAAAAATGTTTGTTAGTTTTCTCAGGATACTTAAATTCCGTTGGTTTTCGTCACACCAACTAAAAATATGTACCTAAGTACC